AATTTTTTTTTTGTACCAGATATGCTCTCTAAAAATATCGGAGCTGATAAAGTTTTCACCTTTGCACTGTCAAATACAAGGAGCTGATTGCGAGTCCTTTTCCTTCTTTTTACGCTTTCTTGAATTTTGTGGAAATGCAAAAATACATATTATTGTGAGTCTCTTTGTCTGGGTTCGGAAAAGTGAGTGGATTTTGACACCTGCTTTCAAATCAGCAGCGGGGTAATTGGGAGGCTGAAATTTCAGGAGCATATTCCCACATCATATTGTCACCCCTCCATTTAAAATTTTTGCTCATGCGTTCCTAGAACTCACACGCAGTCTTCTCAAAGAAGTATGTAAATTTTTGGCGGAAAAACGATTTTCAGAACCTACAGACATAGGAAGCTGGAACTTTGAAGACCTGTTCTTGTCCATTTAGGAGCCAAAGATTTCAAATTCAGCTATTGCGCATGCTTGCTTCATGAATGCGGTCACGTTAAAATCCCCATTTTGGCACCGCGCACATTCGAAAGCTAGTTGGAAAACAATAGCTATAATTTTGTCAGAATATTAAAAAAAAAACAATAGCTATAATTTTGTCAGAAAAACACTCAATTTTGTCGCTTACTTAAAAGCGAGTACACTTTTCGAGTTTCATCATCCCTCTTTCAAATTATTAAATTCGCATCTTCTGTGAACGACCGGTCACCGTAAATTATTCGTTCCTCTCCATGCGTTTAGTGAACAAATTAGGAACTGCGAATCGAAGATGCCATTTCTGGAATGATACAACCATAGCTACAATGTAAGTGCCTTTACCAAAGCTAAGAGCGATGAACTTACAACATTTGTCTGGGATAAAAACAAGCAAAAAGCGGTGGTGACACTGGTCTCAGTCGTCGAGTTTCTGGCTCACATTGCCTGTTACGTTTCTAATATGAGCTTTTTTTTTTTTCAAATGAACAAATGCGGCTATTTCCGTTTTCTGAATGTCCTAGAATCGCAAAGGGTAGGATGAGTTTTGAATTGCCACTGGTTTCTCGCAGATCGGCTACTCAATGGTAATATTCTTTTTTCAGTCTGATATAACACTGTTGCATTTTCATTGTTCATTTGAATCATGGG